TCTATACCGCCATCATGAATTCATATAGAACGCAGCAAATGTAAAGACGTATATTGCTATAGTAGTGATTGTCTTTTTCAACAAAATTAATCCATTTATCCGAAAGGATGCTTCAGTCTGACTGCTCATAAATTTTTTTTTTATTTAATTGATTAATTAATTATGACCCTAATGGAAGATTCTGTGAACAAATAGCGTAATTGAAGTCAATGCCAACATCCTGATTTTAAGCACTTGAACTTTGACCTTGTTTTCTTTTTTGTTCTCACTGTGTTTCTGAAACTTCAATCATTTTGTTTCATTTTCTTTTTTTTTATTTTTCGCTCAAGAAGCCGTTTCTCACAAATGACTATATTTATATCTTCCGTAATATTACGGTGTTCGGAAAATAATGTCTGATTTTAGGAAAAAAACCTTTTGGGATTCTAATATATTAGATTTTTCGAAAAACAATGTCTGTTTTTTGAATAAACCTTTTAATTGTATTTCTAATATATTAGATTGTTTGGAAAATAATGCCCGATTACAGAATACACTTTTAATTGTGTTCTAATATATTAAATTGTTTGGAAATAATGTGCGATTTGAACATAAAACTTTTATGTTCTAATATATTTAGTTGTTCGGAAAATAATGTCCGATTTTAGAATACACCTTTTAATTGTGTTCTAATATATTATTTTAATAGTTAAACAAAATGTATTACTCGTTCCTAATGTCCACTTTGTTAATTTTATATTAATCTCTTTCAGAATTTAATAAAAAAAAATAAAACAATATATATCCGCCATCTTGAACCCCCCAAAAAAAAGAGATGCTTTTACTTTATTTTACATGTATTCAAGTTTGATCATAATACTTCTCAAAATGTTAATAGCAATTATAGAGCATTGGGTGAAGGATCAGACAGTACTGCGCTGGTTTCTGAAGTTCCTCACTGGGGATCCGAGTCTTGAAGATCACGATGGTAGAAGAAGTCTATCTGCAATTGACAATCAGCAGCTTAAAACACTAATCCTCATAGTATCAGAAAAGGCCCAGAAAAAGGGTGTCAGCACTTCAACAATATCGGACCATCTCAAGAATATTGGTAATGTGAATGAACTCTATAAATGGGTTCCACATGAAATCAGTGAAAGTCAAAGAGTTCGACGTTTTGAAGTGTGCTCGATATTACATCTGAGAAATTCGAATGATCCATTTCTTGATCGAATAATGGCTTGCGATAAGAAATGAATCTTTTATAACAATCAGTTCAGTGGTTTGCTCATGACGAAGCACCCAAACAATTTCCAAAATCGAAATGGCACCAACAGAAGATTTATGGTTTCTGTCTGGTGGTCTACAATTGTCATTATTCCTTGCAGCTTTCTGGAATCTAACCAGAGCATCACTGCCAAAGTTTATTGCGAACAACTGGATGAAATGTACATTTTATTAAGAAAAATGCTTCTAGCACTGGTTAATTAATGAGCTCCATGTCACTGCTTCATGACACTGCGCGGTCGCATGTTGCCAAGTTGACATTACAGAAGTTCACCGACTTGGGAGTCTTTACAACATTCACCTTATTTCCCTGATTTCTCGCCTACTGACTACTAATTTTTCAAGCGTCTTGGCAATAATTTTCAAAATATATTCTGTTGCAAAAAAGAGGCAGAAACAGTATTCAAAGATTTCTACGAATTGAAATCTTTAGAGTTATTTAGTGATGGCACATCGTATATACTTGAGTACAGAGTTTTATCATCGAGATTTTACGGAAAAAGTAGAGGTTTGCACTATACACAGGTATTTTTACTTTTATTTTGAAGAGGTTAAAATCATGCATTTTCGGTGACCGGTGCACTATACACAGGTAAATCTTTCTGGAAGGGTTAAAATTCATATATTTTCTCTAACCTACATTCTTACGCTACCTCTGGTCAATCATAACGGTACAGGTAAGTTTCCTTTAGCCTAGGTTATTTCTTTCTGTTGCTGCATGAACAGCAGGGCATCATTCACTATGTGTGCCGCTTTTCGACCAAATGTTTATGGACACATTGCAGCTGCTGGACATATAAATGTGCATTTAGTGTTTTAAGCATTCTAAATGAATATTACTCCGACGATTCTACTATGCGTACGACATTAAGTTTCTTCCATTCAGCTCAGTTTTGGAGCGTTGAACATTGTCGTATCCGTGGTCTATCTGAAAAGTAACGGGATTGGTATCAAAAACAGTTTATTTCAATTCCAAACAACAAACTACACGGTTCCCCCCCTTCAAAGCAATACCCACTCGTGTCTAATTCACTTTTCCATTCTTCTCTGCCACGCTTCTATGCACTTCTTCTTATTGGATGCCCCCTCAGTTCCGTCATTACGGTCCATTTGGTAGCCTCCATGCCTTCAAATCGGATCCAATTGATGATTCCCTTGTGCTTGGGGAAACGAAAAAAAGTCACACTGAGCAAGATCAGGTGAATAAGAAGGTTGTTCCAGTACCGAGATGTTCTTCTTGGATGCTCTGGGTGTTGTGAGCAAGTGAATTTTCGTGGTGGAGCAGCCACTAGGTATCATAGCACAAAGGCATGTGAAGAAATGCAATGGTTGCAGAAAGCTAATATTACAGTTATATTCTCCCAAGATATTATATTAGATGATAACATAACCCGCTTATCCCTCTTTCACCCAGAGTTCACACAGCACACTTAGTCCCGTTACTTTTCAGTATTACCCATTTTTCATAACCTGTTATGGTATACGTAGAAGCGGTTAGTTAGCATGATACATTCGTTATTAGAATTGGTCCTCAAAAACGGAAATTAATTAAGGCTCAACCTAATCAATCTGTTGATATCTTTGCGCAATCCAAATGCTATTAAATTCCTTAATTTACGACAATCCTTATCACTAAAATATTCGTTTAAATTCTTTCATCCCACATCATTATTTGAATCTAAAATAGACTCCAAAGACCATCGGGGTCTTCGCTTGATAGCACCCATATACGTACACACAATCATAATTACACACATTGCTTGGGAATACCAGGTGCTGTAAGGTAGGGTGTGCGGTTGGTGTAATGGGTGGTGGCTCAGAATTGAAGATAGGATAGCTAGTTTGGTTCATTATATTACATTACGCACAAATACACTTAGAAAAGGTATGAATCCATTTATTTTCCCACCAGCTATGGGTTAATTAGTAGGAATTCTATCAGTTAATCCTTATTATCTTCAAAATGATCTAAAAATATATTCTGGCTTTAAATAAGCTGCAAAAAGTTTCTGTTTATATTTCTGAGATGAGGCATTATGTACATTATTGTCCTCATCTTTGTCACCATATTTATTACAACGTTTCGGCCGTTGTACGCTCCGGCCTTCTTCAGTTGGTTGGAATGTCGAACTGAAACCTTTATTTCGTTTACCGTGGTAGTCCAGTTATCGCCTGTTAATTTTCCTCTGAAAGTTCTCCACTGCCTTTACCTGGTATTGAACTCACAATCATTGGGTCCTGTCACTGGATCTAACCAACGCCTTTATCCACTGTGCCATGTGTCCTTGAATGGATTTCTGGGTATTATAAACCTAATGTTTCAGCAACCATTTTTACCAGTGTTCATATTGCAATTTTTGCTGTTATCATTGCAGGCTTTTACCAGAGCTTATATTGCAACTTTTGTTTTTATTATCACTTTTCTCTGGCACTCCTTATTACTGGTTCCCATATTGTATTTATTTCTATGCTTGGTCGGCTTTGTGGCCTAGCATATGTGCTGATTCCTTAAGTTTACGAATTTTCCAATGGTGTTCCTTGTCTATGATCTCAACTTGATCCCACAGAGGGCGGTGATCTCCCTTCTCTCTCCATATGTCGTCAGCCACACCTGATTTTTCTACCTCTCCTCGTGTTACAGCTTTTTGGTGTTCTTGAAGCCTTACCTTGAGTAATATATAGTATATATCCTTTAGTGTAAACATTAAAATTGAAACAGCAAAATATTTTTTTGCGTTGTAGTAGTTATTGGTTCGGACTTTGTGATTTCATTTACGGCTGCGTGCCATTCGAAATTGCTTGCAGTGCCACGTGAAGCACGCGTGCCAAAGGTTGCCGACCCCCCAGCTCTAAGATACTTAAGAGCGGAGTCGTTTCATTTTTGGAGGATATTTTCTGATCCCGGACCACGTACTTTGGAGGAAACTTTTCCCTGTCCCTGTTGTCTTAAGTGTGTAGCAGCAAGTGAGGAACGAACACATGGCAGTCATAATTGATCTAGCGAGACAAGCTTGCTAACGATTACATCGTGCCGAAATGCCCGTGCACGTTTTTATGAATGTTTAACATGTTGACTGACAGGGGACAATTACAAAATCAAACTTCAAACGCCAATTAGTTTTGTTATTGGACAATTCTGTTGTTTTTCGTGTGCTATATTTTCAGTTAATTTTTCCCATAAAAAGTTTGTTTTTAGTTTCCAGCATATTTTTCATTCTTGCCTTAGACGCCACGTACCAGTTATTCGCGTTAAAAACAACGAAAAACTCGCGGTGTAGCCTAGATGACAAGGTCACAAAACAAGATAACTCGTCATAATAAAAAATGTCAACCTCGACATAACACGTGGTTGATAGTGAATGAGTTAAATAAGTTACATAAGCATGCATTTTTTAAAATTTTTTTTAATTTTTTTTTTTTACAGCAACCTCATCCCCAGGATTTATTGTACTTTCTCTTAAGATGATGGCACAGGAATGTACATTCAAATTCATATGAGTTATTCGAGTCGATATTTAATTTATACAAGCTATTTCGAATATTAATTAAGTTTATACCAATGCAAGAAAGTCCTAATAGTGAGGTTCGGTGTTACACTAGTAGTTAAATTCTAAATTATTTATGATTTGAATGATTTTCCACCTCTTCCCTTACAAGTGGATATATTACGACTCACCTTTAATGAATATTGTCAAAGATTCCAAATTCCCATTTATTAAGCCCCCTAATTTATATTAGACTCCTAAGATAGATAGATAGATAGATAGATAGATATTAACAGACTGAAATAGATAGATAGATAGATAGATAGATAGATAGATATTAACAGACTGAAATAGATAGATAGATAGATAGATAGATATTAACAGACTGAAATAGATAGATAGATAGATAGATATTAACAGACTGAAATAGATTGATAGATAGATAGATATTAACAGACTGAAATAGATAGATAGATAGATAGATAGATATTAACAGACTGAAATAGATAGATAGATAGATAGATAGATAGATAGATATTAACAGACTGAAATAGATAGATAGATAGATAGATATTAATAGATATTAATAGACTGAAATAGATAGATAGAATAGATAGATAGATAGATAGATAGATATTAACAGACTGAAATAGATAGATAGATAGATATTAACAGACTGAAATAGATAGATAGATAGATAGATAGATAGATAGATATTAACAGACGGAAATAGATAGATAGAGATGAACAGACGGAAATAGATAGATAGATAGAGATGAACAGACTGAAAATAGATAGATAGATAGATAGATAGTTAGATAGAGATGAACAGACTGAAATAGATAGATAGAGAGATAGAGATAAACAGACTGAAATAGATAGATAGAGATGAACAGACTGAAATAGATAGATAGATAGATAGATAGAAGCTTGATGCAAATGTTCTGAGGCGATATAATTTGATAATTTAATTAAAAAACAATGATATTTAATTCCCATAAAATCAATACCAAATTTACAAAAAACAACACTAAAACGGAAGTAGTTATTTCCAGAAGGGACTGCAAAAAATTAGGAATGTAAGTTCAGGAATTTAAATAGAACATTATGATACGAACATAACATGGATTTTTAACAAAAGAATACACTCAAAGCATTAGTTTTTCATCGCAATAGTTCTAAATATTGCATGTAACAGACAAGGAAAATCTGATATGCTTTTAAGTAGGTACGCCAAAAGATTCGCGATACCTAAGGTTTAAAATGAACTTTTAAAAATGAAAAATCTTTCTTGAAGCCTTTTAATTTTAATTTAAAACTAATAAATTTTATCATAGCATAAAAAATAAATTTAATATTAAATTAACTGGAAGGAGTTTTCGTTTTGAATTTGCCAGAATACATAATTTTAATACCATTTTTAGTCATCTGTCATCGCAATGTAATTCTCTTTATTAAAAAAAAATCTTTCAAAAATAAAATATACGTTCTGAAATTTTATTTGAGGAATATTAGATGATTTATACGTTAACTAATCTTATTGGAAACATTGCTTACTTTAAGTTTAAAATATCGCAGAAATGCATTTTTAACAGGACAGTAGAAGTTTATTTTAGGTGTTGATAGGTTGACAGCTTGAATGACAGACGGAAGTTTATCTAATATTTTTCTACAGTGGATATATCTGTAAAAAGTATTGAAAAATATAACGTGAGCGTATTTTTTGTGTAATTTTTAATTACATAGCAATCATAAAAAATAGGAAAATATGTATTCTTCGTAATGTCAAGTTTTATTAAACTGTGGGTACTTGGATTTAAATTTAATATAGTAATCGTTTTTATTTCCTGATAATATCGTGTATGCACATCCGAATTTTAAAAAAAAATCGTCGTGATTATACACACATAAAATTATTTCAAATTTCTTTTAAAATATTGGTGTTCGGTGAATTGTATTAAGTTTTTCCAAAGCATTTTAATTTTCATTCGATGAAACATCTTTAAAAGAAAATCTACTACACAAATACACAATATCTATCTATCTATCTATCTATCTATCTATCTATCTATATATATATATATATATATATATATATATATGTGTGTGTGTGTATGTGAGCGAGCGCGTGTGTGTGAGAGATTGTGTTTTTGTGTGTGTTGTATATCTGCATACATATATTTGTGTCTATCGGTGAACTATTATCGAAATGGGAAAAAAAAAGATAAAATTCCTTAAAAAACACTTTCATTTGCCTTTAATAAAACTTGCATTAATGGAATATATCTTTATGCTCCGTACATAAAGAGAAACAATCAAATTACAGAACAGTACACACACACACACACACACACACACACACGTATGTGTACCTTCAAGGAAACGCTATAACTACGGTTTAAAATTAATTTTTAAAAAGGAAAAAAATCTTTTTGAAGCTTTTATTTTAGTTTTAATTTAACACTAATAGATTACATTTAATATTTCCATTAAGGGAAATATTTTGTTCTATTTCAAAATGAATTTAAGTTGATTGAAATGATTTTTTAATCGCTAAAAATGGGGGTGGGGGTCAGCCATATTTGCTATTTCCTCAGCACAACGTAATTCTCTTTAAAAAATCTAAAAAGAATAAAATATATTTTCTGAAAGATTATTTGTGGAAGATTAGCTGATTGAAAGTTTAATAAACCAGATTTGACACAATAATTACTTACTTTTAGTTTAAAATATCGCAGAAAAGCATTTTCTAACATGCACGCGGGTGTTCTTATGAGGTGTTGACAACTATCGCGATAGACTTATGCTTAGAAATTTTTCTACCTGGGACATCGACTTGAAGTGTTACAATATCCGTGAAAATTACTTGACGAATATAACTTAAGCGTCTTCTTTATATAATTTTTCTAACTAACCAGTAATCCTAAAAACTTTGGAAAATATTCTAAGTAATCTAATGTTTTATTGAATTTAATATTTACTATAGTTACCGCTCTTATGGAAAATGTGTATGGACAGCCGTATTTACAAACATCGGCATGTTTATACACGCACAAAATTAATTCAAAATTATTTTTAGAATATTGCGGACTGCTGAATTGTAGTAAGCTTTTCTATTTATGATTAGTAAAAAGTTTTGACTTAATAACAACATCACCTAACGTTTAAAACTAAAACAGAATCTAAGCAAATTTAAAACTATAAATTATTCTAATTAAATTTAAAAAAATTGAACAAATTTTTATAAAAATTCACTATTCATCAAAAAAATGTTTTTCTTAAAACAACAGTGTCACTAGTATATCTATTTAATAAAACAAATAACAAATTTTCTAATTAAATAGTCACAATTTTATTTTAAGATTCAGAGTATATTTTCTGTAACCGAGTGTTCCTGTTTTACAAAACACACGCGCACGCGCACACACACATACACTCGCGTGCGCACACACACGCACACAAACACACACACACACACATATATATATATATATATATATATATATATATATATATAATAAATGATCATTTAAATTCATCAAGGCCGTGTACTTATAACTTATAATATAATCATTAAGCCCTACAAAAATGAATTTCTCGAAATTTCATAACATTAAATAAAGAGGAGGTGATAGATTTAAAAAGAATTTTTTTTTTGTAAAAGAGAAACATTTCTAAAATTTGTAAAATTTTGTAAAAGTGAAACATTTCTAAAATAATGTCGATCATCTGTGAATAAGTCCTGAAAGTTTTATTTTTGCAAGAATGTCCAAATCTATGCATTTTTCACTGCAAAAAAGTAAAAATTTCCTATACTAATTTATGATCACACGCTGAGGCAAGAAAAAAAATAAACCAATGATTTCAGGGTTCTAAAAAGGATAAAAGAATTTAATAATCAAAAAGTCATTTGGTCATTCCTTTTAATAATAAAGATTTTGACGATAAAATTATGTTTTTATTCAATTTATTTCATCAGGTATGATCATTTTGTAGAAAATCTGTGGAGGTACCTAAATAGTATAAAATAATTATATATTTATATAGATATATGTGTGTGTGTTTATGTATTCACTCGTACACACACCCACACTAACATACACACACACATATATATATATTGCTTGTTTCTCTCTTTCTCTCTTTTTACGCCCCATTTAGTTCTAACCTAGCAATACTCAGCGATGCGATTGGGGTCATTTTTCAACTGGTGTCACAAGGCAGCTGATTAACGCGCCGCCCTCTTCTGTGTCCTTCGTTCTTTCTATCCATCTCCTCCATCGCGTCCACACACGAGTATCGCCATTTTGCTCCATTTCAAGTTTTCTTTCCAACCGCTCCCTCCACCTGTGCGTGGGGGTGCATATCAGTGACAACGGTGATAATCTATGGTTTTATAGTCGCTTTTATCTCGCTCACCCCTGGAAAAAAAACAGGTTGTAGATGAAAGATTTGATATAAACGACGCATTTAAGATATATAATACCATAGAAGAAAGGCTATTTCGCCTCGGGTGAATTGACAGAGAGACGGGCGGTCTAAGGAACTGACTGATGTTCTGATGTAGGGTCGGGCACTATATACTGGACAGTGGTCGGAATGTATCATTAAGCGAGTTGCTTCAATAAGCGGAAAAGACTAAATGAGTTTCAGAAAATATTCGTCATTTTTAAAAGCATTTGTTGTGTTATAAAAATAACTTTAAATCACGTTTCGAAATTACTATCTGGAGTTCTGTGATTACTTCTTCGTTTATTTCTTATAATCTATCTCTTGTACTTTCATGTTCGTTATAAATTTTTGGCCGAGTGTATAAACATTTATACACATATACTTGTAACATGAGCATAGTACAAGCCTTTTTTAGAGGTCACACCAAGCAAGGCAGTAAAACCAATGAGGCACAATGAGTTACTGGATGTGAAAGAATTAGAAAAGAGAAACATTACTAAGGAGCGAGAACAAATCGCAGTGGCGGGGGGTAGAAAGCATTTCACGTTGCATTTAAATTTTTGAAGATTAAAGTTGTCTGGAAAGCACGGAGCTGGAAGGGAGTTCCACAAGCGGGAAGTGCGAGAAAACTGTCTGAAACAGAAAGTTCGTTGGTGGCAATGGAAGAATTTAAATTGGTTTCGCAAAGTGCAAAGATCGTTCGAAGAAAAAAAGGATTGTATACTGCAGAAGTTGGAACAGAAATCGCGCATATTGTAGAAGGAAAACTTCTCTTATGTATTTACTATGATTTCTTTAGTCTATCACAAGGACATAAGTTGTTTTTTTTGTTTTTTTCGACTTTAATCGAGATTATGAGTTCAAAACGGTAAAGATACACAGTCAACTAAGCTGGATTGAATTCAGCTTTCGTTCTCCTAGGCTAGGAATCACATTCTACCTTGTTATTTAACAGGAAGTGGGTAGAAAAGATGCATTCATAACTTACATTAGGCAATTTGTAAGAAAATCGACAAAAATTCGAATTCAACTCTCTGATCTATATTTCCAAGCCGCTAATGTTATTACGAATCCATGACAAAAACCTTGTGGACAAAATCGCAGTGGACCAATGTTATCATAGGAGTAATGTTGCTGTAATGGATTGCGGCTAGGATTAAGGAATCGGAGAGTAAGATGGAATTAAAGTCGAACTCATTACATTCACTCATGTGCTAATAAACTTTAGAAAGGTATGAAGCCATCTCTTCTCCGTAGCTATGGGTAAATAGCAGGACAGACTGGGTTCTATAGCTTGGAGAAGGAAAACATTGAATTCAAAGTAGTCTGGAGAGAATTGGGTTCCTTCAAGCTATCTTGCCCAAGTCACACCACTTCTACTACGGCTGCAGGTTACAGGCGGTGCCCCTACGATTCTAATGAGTTACTGGACTCCTGATCGTGAATATCATTATTATAATATATATATATATATATATATATATATATATATATATATATATATATATATATAAATATAAATATATATAACATAAATATCATATATATATAACATAAATATCATATATATATATATATATATATATATAACATAAATATCATATATATAACATAAATATCATATATATATAACATAAATATCATATATATATATATATATATATATAAAATATAAATATATATATATATATCATATATATATCATATATATATATATATATATATATATATATATATATATATATAAAAATATAATATATATATATAACATAAATATAATACATATATATAACATAAATATATATATATATATATATATATATATATATATATATATATATATATATATATAAAAATTCATTCAGCAACAAGGAGACAGGTTAAAAGAGTTTGCAGTAGATTCTAAAGTTGTCTGGAGATTGTGGTTGAAGCCAAATGGCGATTTTATTGAATAAATTTACTCTTTAGGTAAATATATTTGTTAAAATGCGATGTCAGTGGTATTTTTATTTTTGTGTAAGTTAGACGACAATATATCCATCGCACACTGTATAGTGGATATTGCCTTTATTGTCTCAATTTGACATTCAAGTGTGTGTGTATATATATATATATATATATATATATATATATATATATATATATATATATTTTTATTTTTAAGGAAATGTAACGAACTCGATTGGGATACGAAGTTTTCATTGCGATTCTTTTCAGCAATTTTTACATGATTTTATGCGATGATGTTTTGGTACGATAAAAATTTTTATAACTTGGAAATAAATTGGGAATAATCGAAATTAAATACGAAATCCAGCGAAAGTCACTCATGAAAAAGAAATAATTGTTTTAAGGAAAGTAAGGACCTACCTACATCAAATTTTCTTTAAATTATATGACGGCAGAAGAATTATCGTTTAACTTTTAAAAGGTAAGCTTGACTTTTCATTCAATACTTAAATGCAGTGATCAATTTTGAGTTCTGTATTTCATTGTTGCCTATCGCATCTACTCCCTAACTATTGTGAGGAAGGACCTATGAAGTGCCCTTCGCGGGAGCTGGCTTAAATGACTCCCGATATGGCGGCTTTTAAGCTAGTTATAAATATTTTGAAAAATATTGATATCTTTACCGTGACTGAATTTGTGATTCTACGGGGGCAAGAGAGACATGCGGGCTGATTTCTGCCACTTCACTTTTATTTTACGCTATCGTGTAGACGTGTAGTTGATATATATGGTATTTATATAATTATTGATTTCTGAAGGAAATTCTGCCAAGTATCCAAGTCGAAGTTAAATCCCGTAAAATTTGTTTGTCTCGTTCGAGATGTAAAGCCAGTCAATGAAAATGATTTAACTTCTGAGATTCCTCTTGTGAGAAAACAATTCCTGAAAGAGACTCAACAACCAACATCGATCGTACGTTTCCTGTCATTCATCTAAAGCAGCATTTTGACGGCTTGTATAAGTTACTATTAATAGTTGAACAACTTTCAACAAACAGCGCTTCTTTTAAGAGAAGCTTCTTAAAGAAAAAATTAGTAAAAATATTTCAGAAAAATTCTATGACAGACTAATTTTTATCAGTTGAAAGCTAGCTGAGAAAAATATGACTGTGGATGTTTTGTTAACGAATTTAATAACCGCCATGAAAATAATTGAAATAAAATGCATTAAATCTCTGGATTTATTTACATTAGCCATATGTAGTCATTGTGATATGTAGGTGTAATGGCTAAAGAAGTGCTTCCCAAACCATTTTTTTTTTCTCTGGGACGAATTTTCGGAATAAAAATTTGCTCGCACCGCACCAGATTTATGTGATAAAAAGTAGATTTGAAAATGAATCAAAAAGAGGGAAGTTAAAGGGAGATAATCGCGGATTCGAAGTCAGAACATTATCACTGATAACTCTCTCTCCTCCAATTTGCGAACACTAGTTATATTCTTAATACTTGATATAATACAAAAATATCACAATTATAAAATCGGTTAATAATTAGTATTTATACTGGGACTCGCCCATACAAGTACATGTAATCCATAATAATATTTTCGATTATGAAAATATATTTATCTTTGGCACATGAATTTTTTTCAAACTTTTGATAAATCGTTGATTGTCTTTCAATCATTCCGCCTCACCTGCTATCCTCTTCGGCCGCTACCATGATGCGCGTCACACCATTTGGGAAGCATTATGATAAAGACTCGTAATAAGAAACCGCCGAATTGATTCTCTAACGCAAATATTCTTGGGAAAGACATGGATCCATCTATTCTCCTCTCATTTATGATAGAGAGTAAATCTATCTGAACTCTAAAGCTATGGCTGATTTAATCTGAATTAAAAACCGTATGTTGCACTGATGGTTGGACATAACTGAACTGTAGCTAAAGTTACAGCATCAGTCTGTCAGTGCCGTATTTGCTTACACGCTTGGAAGATCATGTCTCTTTCAATACATGACTGACTAGGCAGTAGATTTTTCTCACAGTAGGTTGCCATTTCTTTCTGTGATAGACTTGGTTGCTAACCAAAGCTAAAGAATCCAGTCTGCCCTGCTATTCAAACCATAGCTGTGGGGGTGGAGATGGATTCATACCACTCCCAAGTGTATTTGTGCGTAAGTGAATTTAACGAACTCGTTTGGAATTCGAACTCTATGAGTTCTCAATCCAAGCCGATAGACCACAACGCACATTCAAAGATAATTTCAGCATAGATGCACTATAAAGCGGAGGGTGGTACTGTGGGTGTTTAAAGAAACGTAGATGGGTTTGAGTAGATGGTAATATTTATGGAACTAGCCGCCGTGCTGAAGATGAGAAATCACGCGGATTGTTATAAATTTTCAACTCAAAATTGCTCTGATGACGATCTTATTGTTGCTACTATCTCGACTTTTGGGGAAAAAACTATTTTATTTTATTTAATAAAGTATTATGAAGATATTTAAAAAAAAAATCAAATTATTATGAAGACGTTTAAAAATATCAAAGTATGATGAAGATATTCAAAAAATATTAAAGTATTATGAAGCTATTTAAAAACAATCATTTCAGAATGTTGTATAAATCGGCAAGATGAAGCCCAAAAATAAAAAAAAAATATATTCTAGTCACATTCTGAGTTTTGTTTCCCCTTCTGCACAAATACTGATCTTCTTGGTCAACTATCCTCCTCGATTTCCTTCCTGATTGATAGAAATACCATTGAAGTTATGTTCGATGTTCTCTCCACTCTTCTTTGTGTTAATGTAAATGTTTAATAATTTTTAATCATTTCACCCTGAGTAAGGAATAAAGCCACTGAGACGCAAGGTAGGGGTGACTGAGTATGAGAGAATATGAGAATAAGATACTATTAAGAAGAGAGTACAATAAAAGAACAGGAATTAAGAAGACAGAACATAACGATTAACATTGCATTTAAATTTTTGAAGATCAAAGTTGACTGGAAAGCAAGAAGCCGGAAGGGAGTCCCACAAGTGAGAAGTGCGAGAGAAGAAACTGTTACCATAGATCTAATGGTTCCTTGTAGCTATTTCACCTGTAATGTGATGAGATTCTACCACCAATCTAGTACTACTCTTAAATTCATAAAGTCTATATGCTTCAAACTGTTAGTTTCATCATTTACACTATATTCAAACTTTTTATTTCAATTTTCTACTCGAATTGTTCACCTATATTGCATATGATCCATTATTGTACAGAATTAGGTTACTACAATAAAATTTATATTTTTGTATATGAAAATTACCTTCTGAAAATTGAGATGTAGTAGAGTGGAGACCCATATCATAGCTTGTGGGGTGTACCATAGATTCAGGGGTGCGTATCATAGATTTTGGGGTGCCATGAGACCCTTGTACCTGCCTTGCTCTAATTTGTATTTAGATATATTGTATTTATTTTTCATTCTTCTTGATAATTTTTTCACTTCTCTTACATAAGATACATTATTGTGAATAAATAGGTTACAACAAAATTCAATTTTATATGAATTCTTATGAAAATTGAGATGTCACAGAGTAGGGGGTGCTGTATCATAGATTCCGTGTGGGTATCATAGATTCGGTGGGCAGGGACCACAAGGCCCTTGCACCGGCCCTTATTATAGTGACTTAAACTGTTTACATATTTGTTTCAATCATACCCACAATAACAGGGAGTTAACATAATGCTTCTTTGTTTACTGTCTCTTCACGACGTGGTCAATCATGGCTCTCCACAATTTCCTGCCCTTTGTGGCTCTATGTGTCGCCGCTTTTCATATAACTCCTAATCCTTCTTCTGCAAATCATTTACATAAGCTCGTTAAGTAGGTTATTTGTTGTTTTTTCTACCCCTCCTTCTTTCAATATGCCCTGCGAGTGTCAAATTTTCTAAGCCCTCTTTCCACATTATTTGCCTTAGAAATTTCAACTGTTCCTTTCTGAGTCTATGTGTAAATCTTTTTGTTCCCATTTTCCCTACAACTTCGTCGTTGCTTACATGTTAAGTTTCATAGAATTCTCAGTATCCTTCTGTAGAATCACATTTCTTTTGCTCTCCTCACCTTCGTCAGTGATGAGACTGTCCAGCATTCACTGACATATCGGACGACTGATATCACATAAATATTTAGTACCCTTTTCTTTGTTTTCGATTAAATTTTCCTGTTTTTTAATACCTTGCTTAGCTTTTGGACGGCAACTTATGCTTTGTGATTTTGCCGCATTTTTCGTCCTCTGCTAAAATACTTAGATATTAAAATTTCTGTCCTTTCATGATCTTCGTGTTTCCTATTCGAAATTCTCATCTACTTCTTCTATGTGCCGTATTCCTTCCAAACTTAAGCGATCATAGCACTCCTCAATGCTCTATCCTTTGTAGCTGTTAATATTTTTTTTTAATATTTTTGTTATCTCTCTTAAACTTATAAGAGACCTTCAATCTGTCCTGTGAGTATCAAATTTTCCAAGCTCCTTTAACTCAGTATCCGTTTTACAAATGTCAACTGCACACATATGAATGGCATTTTAGATATGTAATGATTTAAATTCTTAAAATTTCATACGTAACGTGTGTTTGTTATTATAGGTTGAGTACCCTTTATCCGAAATTCTTGGGACTGGAAGTGCTTAGGTTTTTAGATTTTTTTTCGGATTTTGGAATACAGGCTATTTAATTTTTATATAGCATCTATAAAATGGGGCAGCTTGAGAATGAATCCCAAGCATAAACACGATATCACTTTACATTTCATAGCACAGCTTATACGTTTAACCTGAAGCTACTTTTTAGATAAATAACATATACCTGAATATAGTTTTATATAAGACTAACCGAATTACCCGCACCTTGCTGCGTGTCACATTCTTTGTAAGAAAATGATGATTGATTTTAAATCATTGTTATAATTTGTAGATTAAAATGATGCATTTCAATATTACTCAATAATCTTGCCGTTATGACCTCCATCTTCTGGCTTTCTCCTTCTCTATTTTGGATAGAACTCTTGTTCAAATTTAAATTTCATTTAAATCAAAGTGAAAAATTCAGTGGGGGTTTGTATAAAACAGCTTGATCTGACCCTTTTGATATGAATTTGAAACAACACTTGATTGACTGAGTTGATAAGCAGATTTCAACATTGATATGACAGTATTGTAAGGCACTACCCACTGATGGGTGATTTCTTGCTCATTTTGACATCCATATTGTCTCATTTTGATCTTGCCGATGTAACCTCCATCTTCTAGCTTTTTCCTTCTATATTTTGGATAGGGGAAAAAATATTTTAGTGACGTGTTCCCTACCGGGCACCATTTCATCTAAATGAAATATACTTTAGGGTATGCTTTTTTTTTAGCGAAGTAGTAAAACTCTATTGAACCTGTATTAATTTTTGATTAGTTTTTTATTTCTACCATTTTTATTTTTTGGCTTTTCTTGCAACTTCCAGATCGTTTATAAATTTACGTCCAGAGGATGTTCAGGTGGCTTAAAGTTTGTCGGCACAAAATATCGATTAGGCGAGTCAAGTTTATATACTGCCTATTCTATTTCGTTTACATTGTCCTAAGGCATGGATTTATTTCTTTTTCACTCACCTATAGGTTAAATATAGTAGGATAAGACTGAGTCTCTATCCTTGGATGGTAGCCATTCTAGAAAGGCAACGCTGAATCCCAAACCACGGAAAAAGTAACGGGAGAATATTTACTGTCCTTGCCAAGTCATGGCAATTCACAGATATTGAAATCTTCGGACATCTGTGGTCGCTTAAGACCTATATAGACAAGGTATCAATAAAAAATATAAGTGGAAAATGAAAAATAAACTTTCCAATATATATATATATATATATATATATATCAATTTTATACGAATACTAGAAATTTGAATGATAAAAGATAATTTAAT